TTGTGTGACTGTGGGAGTCTGTAATTAATTACGTGATTGTGGGAGCCCGTGATTAATCATGTGATTGTGGGAGCCCGTGATTAATCATTTGATTGTGGGAGCCTGTAATTAATTATGTGACTGTGGGAGTCTGTAATTAATTATGTGATTGTGGGAGCCCATGATTAATCATGTGATTGTGGGAGCCCGTAATTAATTATGTGATTGTGGGAGTCCATAATTAATTATGTGATTGTGGGATTCTATGATTTGGTGATCCCATAATTCAGTCAATCCTGTCATTTGGTGATTGATTTGGTGATTTGATGATCCCATGATTTTGTGATCCCATGATTTTCTGATCCCATGATTTTGTGATCCCGTGATTTGGCAATTGATTTGGTGATTTTGTGATCCCGTGATTTTGTGATCCCGTGATTTGGTGGTCCTGGGACTTGGTGATCCCATGATTTGGAGATTGATTTGGTGATCCCATGGTTGTGTTATCCCATGATTTGGTGATTCCATGATTTGTTGATCCCATGATTTGGTGGTCCTGTGATTTTGTGATCCCGTGATTTGGTGATCCCATGATTTGGTGATCCCATGATTTGGAGATTGATTTGGTGATTTGTTGATCCCATGATTTGGTGGTCCTGTGATCTTGTGATCCCGTGATTTAGTGATCCCATGATTTGACGATTGATTTGGTGATCCCGTGATTTGGTGATCCTGTAACTTGATGATCCCATGGTTTTGTGATCCCATGATTTGGTGACCCTGTAACTTGGTGATCCCATGATTTGTCAATTGATTTGGTGATCCCGTGGTTTTATGATCCCGTGGTTTTGTGATCCCGTGATTTGGTGATCCTGTGACTTGGCGGTCCAGTGATTTGGTGATCCTGTGTTTTAGTGATCCTGTGATTTGGCGATTGATTTGGTGATGGGTTGATCCCATGATTTGGTGATCCCATGATTTGGTAGTCCTGTGATTTTGTGATCCCATGATTTTGTGATCCTGTGATTTGGCGATCGATTTGGTGATTTGGTGATCCCATAATTTGGTAGTCCTCTGATTTTGTGATCCCGTGATTTGGCAATTGATTTGGTGATGTGTTGATCCATGATTTGGTGACCCTGTAACTTGGTGATCCCATGATTTGTCAATTGATTTGGTGATCCCGTGGTTTTATGATCCCGTGGTTTTGTGATCCCGTGATTTAGCGATTGATTTGGTGATTTGGTGATCCCATGGTTTTGTGATCCTGTGATTTGGTGATCCTGTGACTTGGTGATCCCGTGATTTGGTGATCCCATGATTTGGAGATTGATTTGGTGATTTGTTGATCCCATGATTTGTTGATCCTGTGATTTAGTGATCCCGTGATTTGGTGATCCCATGGTTTTGTGATCCTGTGATTTGGCAATTGATTTGGTGGTTTGGTGATCCCGTGATTTGGTGATCCCGTGATTTGGTGATTGATTTGGTGGTCCCATGATTTTGTGATCCCGTGATTTTGTGATCCCATGATTTGGTGATTCCGTGACTTGGTGATCCTGTGATTTGGCGATCAATTTGGTGATTTGGTGATCCCATAGTTTGGTAGTCCTGTGATTTTGTGATCCCGTGATTTGGTGATCCCATGATTTTGTGATCCCATGATTTGGCGATTGATTTGGTGATTTGGTGATCCCGTGACTTGGTGATCCCGTGACTTGGCGATCAATTTGGTGATTTGGTGATCCCATAATTTGGTAGTCCTGTGATTTGGTGACCCCGTGATTTGGTGATCCCATGATTTGGTGATCCCGTGATTTGGCGACTGCTTTGGTGACGCGTCGATGCCACGATTTGGCTGCCCTGTGATCTGGCGATTTGTCCGCCCCGCGATTCACCGATTCCCCTTCTTGCCGATGCCACGACGTGCTGATCCCTCACCTCCCCGATCCCACGATCCGACCACCCCACGCTTCCCTCCCCGCCTCCCTTCGCCCCCCAGATGAGCCCTCGCTCTCGGAGCTCGGCTGCCCGGCGCACCGCACCTGGTTGGAGGGCCAGCGCCGGGAGCTGCCGTGCGACGCCGAGGGGGACCCAGCGCCCACCACGCACTGCGCCCGCCACGGGGGACCCCCGGGGGGTGAGGATGGCGGCACCGTCAGCCGCGGCGACGCCGGGCGTTACGTCTGCACAGCCACCAACCGGCACGGATCGGCGCGGCGCAGCGTCGACGTCACCGTCGAGTGTGAGTGGGGAAACGGGGGGTGATGGGTTTGGGGGTGCCGTCGTGACAGTGCCAGGGGTGGCTGGGATGACATCGTGGCCGTGCCAGGGGTGCCGTCGTGACAGTGCCAGGGATGGCAGGGGTGTCGTCGTGAAAGTGCCAGGGGTGGCTGGGATGACATCATGGCTGTGCCAGGGGTGCCGTCGTGACAGTGCCAAGGCTGCCAAGGATGCCATTGTGTCTGTGCCAGGGATGCCATCATGGCCGTGCCAGGGGTGCCATCGTGTCTGTGCCAGGGATGGCAGGGATGACATCATGGCTGTGCCAGGGATGCCATTATGTCCATACCAGGGATGCCATCATGGCCGTGCCAGGGGTGCCGTCATGTCTGTGCCAGGGATGGCAAGGATGACATCATGGCCGTGCAAGGGGTACCATCATGTCATGCCAGGGATGCCATCATGGCTGTGCCAGGGATGCCATTATGTCCATACCAGGGATGCCATCGTGTCTGTGCCAGGGATGCCATCATGGCCGTGCCAGGGGTGCCGTCGTGACAGTGCCAGAGATGCCAGGGATGACATTATGGCCATGCCAGGGATGCCATGTCTGTGCCAGGGATGCCAGGGTTGACATCATGGCCATACCAGGGATGCCATTGTGACAGTGCCAAGGCTGCCAGGGATGCCATCGTGTCTGTGCCAAGGCTGCCATCATGACCATTGCCAGGATGCCATCATGGCCGTGCCAGAGATGCCGTGTCTGTGCCAGCAGTGCCACCATCACCAAGCCAGGGATGCTGTGTTTGTGCCAGGGATGCCATATCCATGCC